TTGAACAAATGTTTTTGTAGTATGATTGGGCATCTCTTGGGTATATTCCCAAGAGTGTTATTGCTGGATCCTGAGGTAGGTTGACTCCCAGTTTCTTGAGAAACCGCCACACTGATTTCCAAAGTTTGAATTCCCACCAGCAATGGATGAGTGTTCCCCTTACTCCACATCCTCTCCAGCATAGGTTATCATTGATGTTTTTGCAATACTATTATTTTTAAAAAATAAGTTGTTAATACCATGCTTGCCTTGAAAAATAATTTGGCTGGGCAGTGGTGGCACATGTGTTTAATCTCAGCACTCTGGGAGACAGAGGCAGGTGAATCTCTGTGACTTCAAAGCCAGCCTGGTCTACAAATAGAGTTCCAGAATAGCCAGAGATACACAGAGAAACCCTGTCTTGTTAAAAAAAAAATTGAGGTTGTGCAGGTCAAAGAAATCTGTAGTTCTCAGAAGCACCGACTTGCGATTCCTCAAGCTAAATCTGATCCAAATATTTCAGAAAGCTTTTGGACTGCCTGTTAAAGTCTCTGCAAAGAGCAGGCGAATCTGCATTCTGTACTGTCAGGAGCATGATTAATTATCTGTTTGGATTCGCCAGCAGAATGTGTGTTCTTGGTTTGCTGTGACACAGGTACTTGCGTTTCTGAGCTTTGGTCATGCTTCTTGAGTTGTTAAGCTTCCCAAAATGTTTGTGTGTGTGCCTTCTTGTAGTAAAGAAAGAGAGAGAGAGAGAGAGAGAGAGAGAGAGAGAGAGAGAGAGAGGAAGAAAAAGTATTTTCATGGCCACACCATCACACAGTGTTTTAGAGTCCCCCCAACTTTTAAAAAGAGATATCTTTTAAATGAAAACCTTTGCATGTGCTCTTGTGTTTCCTTAGCTGAATAACCTTGATCTGGAAGTGCGCTCGAGTTACACACTACGTCTTTGACAGAAAGTTTCTGAGAAATTGAGCTTTTTAATCAGATGATCCTGCTTTGTACGAAGAAAATGGAATGCCATGGGTATCTTGCTTCAGAGCAGGCTTTGTTCTATTATAGCACTTGTTTGCTTTTATTTCTTTCTACCCAAGAGGAGAGACTTGGAAAAAATCCAAGTACAGAGGACGACCTTACAAATGAGCTGTTAAAAGGAAAAAAAAAATCGCATCTATTTTGAAAACTACTGTTGGGAGTTGAGCCAACTGAATATGTGCTGTCAGCGCAGTTGTGTTTGCCATTTCAGTAATCTAATAGGCTAGCATTCGTTTCATGGGCTATGATAGCCTGTACCACAATCGAAAACTAACAACCATGTGTTTTGTGATTTCGTTTAACCAGATGAACCTGCTTTGGTAATGGAACTGTTAGCCCAAGTTGCTTCATTTAATAATTCTAAAGAAAATGTACCATAAATATCCTTAGCATCTGTAGGTTCAGAGCAAAGTCACAACTTTAGATTTTTACAGATAACAATTCACTTGTGTTTTTAAGGCAGAATTAGGATATTTATTTGTTTATTTGCAGTTCTGGGAGATCAACCCAGGGCCTCCCGTATGTTAGGCAAACACTCTACAATAAGCCACACCTTCAACTTAGGAGTGGCTTTGGGGCTCCTTATTCCAATAGTGCTTACCCAAGTGGGTTTGTGTATCTGAAAATGGGGAAGATGTATATGTTGCTTGATTATGTTAAGAGAAATTACTTGACACTTGAAAACAAGGGAAAAAATGACTTCCTGTCCTTTTAAAAATCCTGACTGAAGCTTCTTTTAATGGCCTTTAACTCCAGATCCCATGCAAGGATTATTCAGGTCTCTGCAGAAATGAGCTGTTGCTGGACTAAGGCCCAGTCACATTAACTTGGATGAGTTGGCCCAGAAGAGATGGGAATGATATCTGTGCAGGAGAAGTGATAGCCCTAAAGGGAACGACTTAATTATACAGTTTTTGCCTTTCATTTAGCAAACTTATTTCAGTATTCTGTTCCTTTTGAATTCTCTTTTGAACTAGATTTACTTTACTGCTGTTTCTCTCATGAACACACAACGCCTATAACATGTGTTAATTCTATATTGAGTCATATATCTATAGACGTATCTGTACATGTAGGTTGCTTGATTTATGTTTTGTTTTGGTTATTTGAGACAGGATTTCATTTAGCCCAGGCTGAATTTGAGCTTGCTGTGTAGTCATGGATGGCTTTGGTCTCCTGATCCTTCAGCTTCCATTCCCAAGTGCTGGAATCACTACCATGCAGGTTTGGGATCGTATTTTTAAAAAAATTATATATTCTCTTCATGAAGGAAACTGGTTTCACAAGATCTCCTAAGTAATTTACCCTTGATTTAAGTTCATCTAATCTTACTTCTCTAGGGAATTAATTTGTAAGAACTTAACCAATGTAAGCTGAAGAGATGGCTCAGTTGTTAAGAGCTACTCTCCCAGAGGACCCAAGTTTGATCCCCAGCACCAATGTGGTAGCTCACAACCGTCTATAACTCCAGTTCCAAGTGATCCAACGACTCTTTGGGTGTTCATGGACACCAGGCATACATATGGTACACAGACATATAAGCAAGCAAAAAGTCATACATAAAAATTCATAAAAAATAATTGAAAAAGAATTTAACCAATGCATGATATGAGATCTCCAAATCATGAGACCCATTTCTGGAAGCATTCTCATAGCTTCATCAAGCTTATTGTCCTGGGAAATAAAGAACAGACAGGTGCTGCCTAGAACACAGAGTTCATTCACTAGTTTTGAAATTCAAAGCTGATTTTCTCGATGTGTTTTCAGCATGATGCTGAACATAAAACCCAGCCTTTTTCAATTAAGGCATTTCTAGATTACAAAGTTTTCTACATGTCTTGTGGGTAGGCTAAAAGGGAGGTAGCCTTTGCTGTAAAGAGGAAAGAAAAGACACTCCTCACCCCTTTCTCGACTCAGTTGTAGGGAAAGAGCACAGTCTGGGAGACAGGTCCCTATTCCCAACTGTCCCAATCTCCTTGCTCTGGGTTGAAATCTCCCTGCTCAGGCAAGAAGTATGACAGCTGCATTACTGAGAAAGCATAGGACTAGAGGATGGAGATCTAGATCCTTCTCTTTGGGGAGGGGGGAAGGAGATTATCATCTGCAGTTTTCTACCAGGTCATAGAAGTCATCTTCATGACCTACCTGATGCCATCTTGGACAGGTGCAGAGGAAGGAATAGAACTATTCCAGGGTTGAACATTTAACTCAGCCATCCAATTAGACTATTTACCTACAAAGACATTTTTTTAAATTTATTTATTCATTATGTATGCAGTGTTCTGCAGGTCAGAAGAGGGCACCAGATCTTACTACAGATGGTTGTGAGCCACCATGTGGTTGCTGGGAATTGAACTCAGGACCTCTGGAACAGCAGGCAGTGTTCTTAACCACTGAGCCATCTCTCCAGCCCCCCTACAAAGACATTTTAAATTATGGATCAAATTGAGGTTAATAAATTGGACTCCACCGTATCCACTCCATCCCTCTTTTAACACAGAGGGCAGAAGCATATAAAGACATTAGAAAACAAGGAAAGGAAAAAGCAAGTTGTATTTTCTTCAGACATCTGAGAGTGTGTCCTGAAGAAATTGAAAATACTGCTCACTGTGTGTGATATATGCTCCCTGATCCTCGTTCTGCCTCAGTAAAGGCACTGTTGGCTTCTGATTTCACAAAAATCCAAGTCCTAGTGTGTTTGTGACTTCTGATCTCCTTTGGACACATCCATGTGCTTTCTACAATCCTTGCATCTACCCAGTTAAAGCTGGCCACAGACTGGAGTAGCAAGTGCCAGGAATATGGCCACTGTCATTAGAGAATTGGTACTTTCTCTTTAATAGTCCCTCTAATATTTGTTTACTATATCTTGAATGTCATTTGTTGTCACTCAACAGATACAGCCTGTTCTTTTCACTTCCTAGCTACCTTATGTTGGCGCTGTACCTAATTGTGGCCACTGTATCTATCATAAGTTTAAGCTTTAGTTGGATGCATTTAATTGATGATACATTATCTTTCCTGAGTTCATTTTCCTTCTACTGTAGCGACTGCGAAAATCTGACATAGAGGTTGAGCTACAGACTCAGGAATCACTACGGTGGGCAGGACTCCCAGGTAAACTCTACAACAGACATATAGTATGAGTGGGAAATCCATCTTTGTTGTTTTGCTTTGGTCTGTCTTATCTAGGACAGGTGTTTTAAAGAAGTAAAGGGACTGACACAAGAAGAATCCCCCCTCTGTCTATCTGTCTGTCTGTCTCTCTATCTCTGAAATCTGGGTCTTACTATATAATCTTGGATAAAACCTGAAACTCACTACAACGACCAGGCTGTCCTGAAACTTACAAGAGTCTGGCCTGCCTCTGTTTCTCCGGTGCTGGGATTAAAGGTATGTACCAACATACTCAGCTGAATGGTGCTTTCTCTTAATCCAATGGCTCTCAACCTGTGGGTCTTGACCCCCTTGGTGGGGGTTCAAACAATCTTTTCATGGGAATTGCATATCAGATATCCTGAATATAAGATATTTACATTATGATTCATAACAGTAACCAAATTAGTTATGAAGTATCAACAAAAATAATTTTCTGGTTGGGGGTCACCAAACATGAGAAACTGTATTGAAGGCGGCAGTGTTAGGAAGGGTGAGAACCACCGTTTTATTAGCTCATTTTCTTTTTAAGGAAAAGAAGTAACTACAACTAGGAACATGAAGAAAACAAAATGTAAGAAAATTAGATTCATGGAAGGCATTGTAAACATTTTCAAATATTTTCTGTTTTAAGTCAAATGACCCTCATTTTTCCTTAAGAAATATTTAAAAATATAAATAAGCAAAATCAAAATTAATCAAAATCCCTCCTATGATTCCACTACTTAAAAATAGTCACTTTGGAGGAAAAAAAATTCTTTCAAACTTATATGTACGTATTATATTAATTACTTTTCCGTTTCTGTGATAAAAACACCAAAACCAAAAGCAATTTAAGGAAGAAGTTTATTTCAGTTTACGGTTCTAATGGGATAAAAATCAGTCATGGCAGGAAGACATGGCAGCAAGTTGCAGGCATAGCAACAGGAGCAGGAAGCTGAAAGGTCACATCTTCAACCACAAAAAAGCAGAAGAGTGAAACTGGAAATGGGACCAGGATATGAACTCTTGAAGACCACCTGTAATGAGTCTTTCTCTGTCCTGCAAGCCAGTTCTCAAACAATGACACAGAGACTTCTTAATTATGAAAGCTCGGCCTTAGCTTAGGTTTGTTTCTAACTAGCTCTTACAACTTGAATTAACCTATTTCTATCAATCTACATGCTGCAATGTGACTTGTGGCTTTTATCTCTCCTTCTGCATGTTCTTCTTCCTCTGTGTCTGGCTAGCAACTCCTTCTTCTTCCCAGATTTCTCTCTCTGCCTTGAAGTCCCGCCTCCTGCCCAGCTATTGGCCATTCAGTTTTTATTACACCAAGCACAGCAATACATCTTCACACAGCATACAAACATACTACCACACCCACCCCAGTGATGCTTTCCTCCATAAAGACTGTACCTTCCTGTAACCTTCCCCAAACACTAACAACAACCTATGACAAAATGTTCAAATAACTGAGCCAATGGGAGACATTTTCATTCAGTCTATCACATTCTCCTCCCTGGCTTCCACAGGATTATGATCGTATCATAATGCAAATTGCATTTAATCCAACCTTAAAAACCCCCATAGTCCTTTACAATCTCAATATTTTCCAAAAACCCAAATTCTCTTCTGAGACTCAAGATAATCTTTTAAGTGTAACACCCTGTAAAACCAAAAAAAAAAAAAGAAAAAGAAAAAGAAAAAGGAAAAAAGAAAAAAGAAAAAGAAGGAAAGAGGGAATTACTTACTTCCAATATACTATGACACAAAATATACAATAACATTCCAAAAAGGATGAATGGCAGCATAATAAGAGAATACTGGATCAAAGCAAAAACTAAAACAGCCATGCAAATATCAAGTCCTGTACCTTCATGTGTGGTATCTGGGATTTTAGTTTTAAAGCACTTAGATGGCTCTACCCTTACAGCTTCTAACATAATTTTCTCGAGAACTGCTTGCACTCCCGAAATGCTTCACAGTCCTGGCATCTCTATCTTGGTGTCTCCATTGCAAACCAGGCTTCACTTTCACAGCTTCATACAATGGCCTCTCATGGCGTCTGCCCTCTCAGGGCCTTCATGCAGGGATGCCCATGCCACATGCTCCCTGGTCTCAGTGGGTCTCTGCAACCACAAAGGAAGAATCCATGATCTGTCAGGGACTAGCCTCAACAAAAATACCACTTGCCAGGATAAGGGCATGAGAATTTAGAAATATTGGTAAAAAATATAAAGATATGTATGAAAATAATAGAACAGAAAAAGATACAATAGTACTGGGAGGGCATTCCAATGAATACTGAAATCGCCTACATTTAATTTCCAATTGCTTAAAAGACCTTGATCCCAAAAGGTAGCAGTAATAAAAAAAACTGCATTAACTTGATACAAGGAAACAAACTGACCAGCTGAAGGTTGCGGCTACATTCATAGTTAAACATTCTGTTGCTAGAACAAAACAAATCACGCTCATACCCTAGACCAAAACATTCTGTAGGCAAACCACTCCCTGGTGGAATCCAAAGTTATCTCCTTAAGGAAACTGGAACTTAGTGAGATCCTTAGACTTTTGTTTGAGGTAGAAACATCTCTATTACTGGAGCACAAGGTCTGGCTAATAGCCACACCTGTTGACAACAACCTTGATCGGAATCTAGGTGGGACCTTTGTTTGAGGTAGAGACACAATAACCTTGAAGGAATAGAGGTAAGTCCCAACTCTCTGACCTTTGGTCAATGTAGAAATAGGCTCACATTTTTGGGCCTCCACAATGATCCTTTTACACAGGCATCCTTTGTTTCACTGCAGGAGGCCTCTCCTTACCTGTGTTAATCCCCTTAACAGTTACAGCCCTTTTTTTAGCACATGATTTTGCTATACCATTTCTACTCTTCCTTTTTTCCTCTAACGTGTATATTTTGCATTTTTCTGCCCCACTTGCTAATTCATTGTGGACTTACATATGTGTTATTACTGATAACTACACCTCAGATTCAAACCACCACATATGTGTAGACAGTCTTTTTTTTGCTTTTTAAAACATTTTGAAAATTTTATTAGCCATCCAAACCATTAGGTCTGTTTTTTGTTAAACTTCTGAAATTTATTTTTTGTCTTTCACATAATGCATCTTGATTCCATTCATTTCCTGTCCCTTCATATCTGCCCTTCAACCTTGCAACACCCCCCCAATAAAATAAAATAAAAGAGATAAAAGGAAAAATCTCATCATGGAAGCTATAATGTGACATAGTGAATCACACAGAAAACCTTTTTATCTTTCAAGTGTTCATTGCAGAGAGTCATTGAGTCATTGGCCTGGTTTGGTGCATCTGGTTTCTGCTACACTATCAATTTTGAACCCTCAGTGTGACTCCTCTTGGATAACCTGTTGTTGCCCTGTGTCAGGGAAATCCTGCAGTGATGGATGATTAATAAAAACTCAGGTTAGAAAAGCAAAACAGCCAGCCACTTGCTCTTGCCTCTATAATCCTGCCTTTAAGAATCTCAGAATGAGACTGTGTCTGAAAGCTGTTTCCTACCATTTTATAATCCTCTCTAGGGCTGGGATTAAAGGGTTGCACCACTGGGATTAAAGGCATGCTCTGCCCAGTTTCTATGGCAACAAGTGTGGCTACTGGGATTAAAGGTGTGTGTTACCACTGACAGGTCTGTAAGGCTGACTGGTAGGGCTGTATTACTCCTTGATCTTCAGGCAAGCTTTATTTATTAAAATACAAATGAAATTCCACTACATTACAGTTTTGGCTCTGCAGGACCAGCCCCTTCATGTGCTCCAGTATAGCATTGAAATGGGGTGGATATTGGGGGGAGTCAACTCATAGCTCTGGGTCTGGGTCTGGGTAGTTGCAGGGCATTGCCCTGGTTAGTTGAACCCTTGCAGCTTTGAGTAAGGGGAGGGTCTGGTTCTCCTGCTTTCATGCCCTCAGGGTCAGCTCTCCCGCACTTAAACCCTCAGGGCCAGCTTTCCTATGTTGCCCAGGTGAGGTGTAAGGGCCACTCTCTCGAGTTCTGCAGCTGGTGATGGGCAAGGGACAGCTCTTCCCCTTTTATGACCTCAGGACAGCTCCCCCATCTGCTACAGGTGGTGAGGGGTGGGGGTGGGATGAGAAGGGCATCTCGCCCCTGCCTATACCACCATACGGCAGATGAGGGGCAGGGCCAGATCTCCCATGCTTGCATTTTCAGAGTGGTTCACCTATACTCCCATCAATAAGGTCAGCTCTACTCAGGCAAGGGTACAGGGTCCACTTTCCCAAGTGCTGGTATTGGGGAGGGTCAGCTCCCTTGCCCACCACAGGTGCCAGGGTAAGGGGAGGGGGCATTTTTCCCTCACTATCACCACCACATGACCAACGAGGGGGTGTGGCCAGCTCTCCCACTCTCCCACCCTCAGGGCCAGCTCCCTCACTCACTCCTCTGCCGACAGGGTCAGCTCCGCTGTGTCAGGTATTGGGCAAGGTGCAGGGCCTGCTCTCCCGAGCGCTGCAGCTGGTGAGGGGCCCAAGCAGTTCTCCTGTTCTAATGACCTCAGGGCCAGATCTCCCACCTGCCTCAGGCATACAGTTCAGCTGCCCCCCACCCCTGGCAATAGGGTAAGTTCCACTGTGCGGCCTGAAAGGAGTGCAGGGCCTGCTTTCCTGTTGTGTTGCAGCTGGTAAAGGGGGAGGGTTAGCTATCTTGCCAGCTGGAGGAAATAAGGGCAATAGGGGAGGGCATCTTTCCCTCACCCCAACCACCACATGAGGGAGGTGGTACCAGCTATGCCCTTCTCATGCCCTCAGGAATGGCTCACCCTAACCCCTGACTACAGGGTTAACTCTACTGTGCTGCCTAGGCAAGGGTCAGGCCCATCTTCCCACATGCTGCAGTTAGTCAGGGGGTGGGTCAGATCTTCCACCTGCTTCAGGTGTGGAGGGGTGAGGGGAGGAGGGCATCTTTCTCCCACCCACGGCACCACATGACAGACTAAAGCGGTGCGACCTGCTCTCCCCTTTTCCCACCCTTAGGGCCAGTTCACCCTTGTCCCTGTGAACAGGGTCAGTTCTACTGTGCTGCCCAGGTGAGGTGTAGGACCCTCTCTCCTGAGTGCTTGATCAGTTCCTGAGGGCAAGACCAATTCTCCCTAGTGTTGTAGCCAGTGAGGGGTGGGGCCAACTCTATACAGCCCTATCTTTTTAGCCTTTGGTAGTATTAGTAGCCATGAACATCAAAACAGACTGTGGCTGCATCAGGACCATGAACCCATACATGGTCCCCAGCAGCAGCCCAAGCTCAGATGTGACAATGGCGACCCACCTCAGCCTGCTCCTCACCACTTTCACCTCTTCAGATATGCCTCTGTCCACGGGAAGTGGACCATTATGCTCTCCCATTCCACTGAAGCACAATCCTATTTAGTCTTTAACAATAAAAACCTGGGGTCAGATAGTACGGTGAAAGCTGAAAGATCAGAGAAGCACAGCAGCCAGCCACTAGAGACCTCCTCCCTCTACTAAATCTCAGAGTGAATGCTGGCTCCTGTCTATGAATCCTCAGACTGAATGGGGAGGATCTTGTCTCTCCGAATCCTGAATGGGGCACTTGAGATTCTGTCTCCATGTGCCTTTGCCTTATATTCCTGTCTTCACCTCCTGATTGCGCTGGGATCAAAGGCATGATCCTCCCAAGTGGTGGGATTAAAGGTGTGAGCCTCCACCACCCTGCTCTGTCTCTCTTTTCAATTGGTCCAATCTCACATAGCCAAGGGTAGCCTTAAACTCCTGATCTTCCTGCTTTCTCCTCCAAAGTGCTGGGAGTAAAGGTGTGTGCCACCACTGCCTGACTAGTGGCTAGCGCCGCTCTCTGATCTCCGGGCAAGCTTTATTTGTCAAAACACAAAATATCACACAACATACCACACCATACATTAACTCACATAATAGTGCCTGTCTGCCCTGCATTGGAAGGTACCGGGCAGGCAGCTGTTTTCTTTACCCCAGGGACTGTGTGCGGGTCTCTTTGTTCCTTTCAGTCCACCATGGCATTGGGCAGGAACATCATGTAGACAGTCTTAACACTTCCTTTTTCTCTTTCTCTCTCTCTCTCTCTCTCTCTCCCTCTCTCCCTCCCTCCCTTCCTTCCTTCCTTTCTTTTTTTAAGCAAGGCAGGGTTTCACTGTGTGTCCCTGGCTGTCCTGGAACTCACTCTATAGACCAGGCTGGCCTTGAATTCACAGACATTTGCCTGGCTTCTGCCTCCTGGGATTAAAGATGTGTGTTGCTACCACCTGGCTCCTTTCCCCCCCCCATGGACTTTTTATTGTGCCCACTTGCTTTTCTATTTTCTTGTAGTGCTGAAAACGCAACCCATGGCCACAGGCATGTTGAACAAACACTATAGCACTGAAGTGCATTGCCAGCACAAATCTGCATGTTTATTTTTTCCTTTTTCCGTTTTGATGTATGTGTACATTTGTGCATACATGTTTGCATGTATATGGGTGTGCTTGCATGTGTAGGCCCAGGGAGATGTTCAGAATCATCTGCCGTTTCTCTTCCACTGTATGTGCTGAAGGAGGGTGTCTCATTTCAACGCAGAGCTTGCTGATACAGCTAGTCTTCTTAGCCAGATTGTGCTGGGGAATCCCCTGTCATTGAGGCTGGACTTACAGGTGAGCAACTACACCCAACTGCCATTCACATGACTTCTGGGGATCTGAACTCCAGGCCTCACTTTCATGTCTTTCTGGTCTGGTGCAGTGGTCAGCACAGCTGTGTGTTCATAATTGCAACAGTCATACTGTACCCAGAGGACAGCATTTCAAAGAACTGCTCCATAGCCTCCAACGCGTGCAGTCTTTCCCCGCTCCCTTCTAAGATGTTCCCTGGGCCTTGGTGGGAGCAATATAGATGACCTACTTGGGGCTCAGCACTCAACAGTCATTTACTGGGTTTTTGGTTTTTCGAGATAGCACTTTGACGAAAGTTCTCTGCTTTAGCCATTTCCTACTGCAAAGAGAGACTTCTCTGACCAGGGCTGAGGGCAGCGCTAGTCTATGAGCACAAATATAAATACTTACAAGTCCATTTATTAAAACATCAGCTGCAGATTCTTCCCTAGAGCCTGTGAGCTCCTCAGTTATAGGCTTTTGGCTAGGTTTCCAGTGCCTGGCATATGTTCCTCCCTCACAGCAGGCCTCAGATCCAGTAAGAAAGTGATTAGTGTCAGACAGTGGTGACGCACACCTTTAATCCCAGCACTCGGGAGGCAGAGGCAGGCAAAATCTCAGAGAGTTGGAGGCCAGCCTGGTCTACAAAGCGAATTCCAGGACAGCCAGGCCTGTTACACAGAGAAACTCTGTCTCAAAAAACATAGCAATAAAACAAAACAAAACAAAAGAAAGTGATTGGATACTGTAATGGCTATTCTTGGCTGTCAACTTGACTAAATCTAATCTGGATCTTTTTTTAGAATTTATTTATTTATTTATTTTATGTACACTAGTGTTTTGCCTGCATGTGTCTGTGTAAGGTTGTCATATCCCCAGGGACTTGAGTTAGACAGTTTGTGAGCTGCCATATGGGTGCTGAGAACTGAACCCAGGTCCTCTGGAAGAGCAGCCAGTGCTCTGAACAGCTGAGCCATCTGAGCCATCTCTCCAGCCCCTAATCCAGATCTTTTGAGCTAGAAAAAGACATGTCTTTATTCCAGATCTTTTGAGCTGAAAAAAGATATGCCTTTTATTCCAGATCTTGAGAAAGGAAGACACCTTTAATCCAGATGTAACCTGGCCCACAACTTCTGCTATAGAAGGACATGGAGGAAGGAAGTTTTTGTTCTGCCTGCTTGCTCTCACTTCGTTAGAAAGTCCACTCCTTTACCAGCATTAGAATCTACTTCTGGATTCTGGTATACACTGAAAACCAGCTGAGACATCCAGCCTCATAGACTGAACAACTACTGGATTCTTGGACTTTGTCTGATTAACTGAACCAACTACAACCTGTAAGTCATTCTAATAGATACCCATTTCTTTCTCTTATAGAGATTCGTTCTATAAACTGTAACTCTAGAGGACCCTGACTAATACAGTTACCACAGAACATTCCTGCCATTATTGCACTCGTGGGAGTCTCTTGCCTGGCAGGTCATACTATGCTGAGGCTCCACAGCTGGGAAAGCCTGCTGATGACTTTTCTCTCCAGAAGACTGCAAAGCATCTTCCGGCACTATGAATGCTAGCCTTCAGGGAGGAATCCTTCACCTTGCTTTCCCTGTGTCCTACATCTAAAGTGTGTCCACCTTTTCTTTCTGAAACAGGAAGCTAGTGCTCACCTTTACCCCTAGCCTGGATAGCCACTGAGCCTCCAAAACCTGCCCGTCTCTGTCCCTTAACGTTGGGACTACAGGAGTACATCACCAAGCACAGTTTTACATGTATACAGGGGATCTAAACTCAGGTTCTTAACGCTCGTGTATCAAGCAAAGCACTTGAATCACTGAGCCACCTCCCGAACACTTCCCTTATACTTTTTACTGGAAGTATTTCTGCATATGTTATCTAATAAGAGACCCTTTATGTAAATATAATGCTGCTTTAAATGAACCAACTTAATCTTTTCATTCTGTTTTGGTAGTTGGATAGATAGTTTCCAGTTACTCATTTTGTAAAAATTCTAGTAGAAATTTAGCATTACTGTGTTATGATACATTATCACAAAAGAATTAACTTAAAAAGCATGGACTTTTTTTAGGTTGGTAAATACAGATCAATTGTATTCCAAATTAGTTTTGTCAGTCCACACTGTAATGTGTCAGTCAAATTATTTTTATTTTTACTTACGTGTATGTGTGTCTGTGTGATAGTGCCCTTGGACATCAGAAGTAGGCATTGGATCTGTCATTGTGATCCTCCTGATATGGATGCTGGGAACCAAACTTGGGTCCTCCGAAAGAGTTCTCAACTGCTGAGCTATCTGTCTAGCTCCATGTGTAGCCTAGGCTGGCCTCAAACTCACAGAGATCCACTTGCCTCTGCCTTCTGAGTATTGGGATTAAAGGCATGTGCCACCACTGCCCAACTATATTACATTTTCTTTATGCAGAGGTGGAACTTAAATAAAACTTCCTTTACTGCCGCCCCTTCTCAGAAATTATTTTTTGATCTGTTTTACGGTGAACTTTAGCTCTATTAACATTGGCAAAAATCTTCCTCTACACCTGAGATATAGATATAAGTTCAGTATAAATTATATAGCTAAAAGAAAGTCACTTTATAAAATTAGTTTGCTTGGTTAAGGAGATGGCTCTGTGGGTAAAGTGCTTGTGCTGTAGGGAATGGAGAAGGCCATGACAAAGCTCCCAGAGCTTCAGATCCATAGAGAAATGGCAAAGCCTTCCTATGGTCCAAGTGTGGTTGTCGATAGTGTGTGCAGAAAATGCCCACCATAGCTTTTCCTCCTTACATGTTTACAGCCTGAAGAGTGCCCCCCTACAGAGACTGCTGTAGATTAGCTAAACCCGAGTCCTCGATCCAGCTGTGAGCCACAAACACTTCCTCCTTATTTATCTGTGTGTAACAATTCGGCCTCCTTGTCCAGTGTATGTAATAATCCTGCCTTTCTGTCTGACTGCGTACAATAAATACGCTGAGGTTCCGGAACTTAGCTGGATTCCCCAGAACCCATGTAAGAATCTGGCATTGTTAGCAATATCCCTGATCTCTGTCCATAAGTGGCTAAAGCACCATTACCTCCAAATTGTGACAAAAATATGATCCCTTTTGTGTCTAGCATAAAAATCAAGGATAATGCTCTTATAACCAAAGGGACTAATAAGAGGAAATCATTAACACATTGATTTGACCATAGTATCAAAATATGACACAGGAAGATCCAAAGATATTGGATGAACCATCCAATCTTCTGCTTAAGTTTAATGAAGCAGGGGCAGCCTTGTAGAAATGTGATTAGACAAAAACAAAAACAAAAACAAAAAAAAACGACCTAATGGTTAAACATGATGGGGGAGGGATACAGTGGGGGACAGCATCAAGGCCTGACCAGATTCTTCTTGGTTTCATAGTTGTATTATTTCTTCCTCCTGAGTATGAAGCAGCGCCCTTTCTGGAATAGGTCACAAGGGTTAGCAATAAACACCTTTATCCACTGAGCCATCAGTGGCTTTATTTTTAAAATACTGCGCAAAGGGCAGTGGATGTTAGAGAAATGGCTCAGAAGTGCTTGCTGTACAATCAAACAAGACAAGCCAGATCCTTTCTTTATGGCCAGCTCTTAACACAGGAAAATAATGCAGATTAGAGAAAGCCTTTAGCTATTACAGTTGGTTTTGCAGAAAATGGTTTCTGGTTTCTGCTACACTCTGGGGAAAATTGTACTTAATAATTTTAGCTATAAGTTTGTTTTGTTTTATTTCACTATGTATCCCTGGCTGCTCTGGATCTCAGTGTGTAGTAAAGTCTGGCCTCAAACTCAAGAGAGATTCCCCTGCCTCTAGGACCTGAGTGACAGAATAGAGGCATGTGCCACCATATCCTGGTTTTTTGAGACAGGGTTTTTCTTTGTAGCTCTGACTGTCTTGGAAATTGCTCTAGACCAGAATGGCCTTGAACTCACAGAGATCTGCCTGCCTCTGACTTCTGAATGCTGGGATTAAAAGTGTGTACCACTACTGCCTGGCTTCAAAAAAAGTCTTCATATGTATATTTTCACCTTTTAAAAGATTTATTTAAATTTTAACATCATTAAAAAAGATTCATTTATATGTATGAATGTTTTGTTACATGTATGTATGTTTACCATATGCATTCCTAGTGCCCATGGAGGTCAGAAGAGGGTGTCAGATCCCCTGGAACTGGAGTTTAGGATGGCTGATGGGAATTGGACCTGGGTCCTGTGAAAGTGTAACAAGTGCTCTAAAGCACTGAACTCTCGCTTAACCCTTTATTGCCACTCTTGCCCTGTGTCTCTCCTCCCTACTATGATGACAATTCTTTGATTCTGCCATACCTGAGACTTGAAGAGAAACTCTGGACGGGAGGCTAATCTGATACACTCCTTTCACCACAGAATTTTCTTATACATTTAGGTTTAAAAACACACTCTACCAATATATGAGGGAAAATATTAAGACCTTCGTATGACACTTTTTCCTCCTTTATTCTAGTTATTCAACTAGGATGTTTTCACCTGTGGAGTAACAATATCCAACTAAAAAGGGCACATGCAGCAAGTTCAGTTGTCTGATCTAAAAACAGTCGAAGTCCATAGTCCTAGGCCAAACAGTATCATCAGCCATCCAGGCTCTTTGCAGCCCTACATTAGCCATCTTAAACAACTGCTTTTGTCCATTGGCTGATGGATGCAATATTTCTACTGTAGTTTCAGTTATATGAAATTCTTGTGAAAAAACAAAGAGGAGGACTGCAATGTGGCTCACTTGATACAGTGCTTGCTTTGCGTATCTCTCTGGACATCTCTCCCTCTCTCCCTCCTTCCCTCCTCCTCTCTCTCAGTCTTCCTATCTCCTGTGTGCCCCTGTGTGTGTGCCCGTGTGTGTGTGTGTGTGTGTGCCCGTGTGTGTGTATGTAAGGTACACATGTGACACAGTACAAGTACAGTGGTCAGAGGACAACACTACATGCCAGTTCTCACCTTCCCCCTTATTACAGACAACTGTTAGCTACTATACACAGCAGGTTATGTGGTCAAAGGCTCCAGGGCTTTTCCCGTTTCTTCTTCCTGTCTAGCTGTAAGAGTACTGGGATGACTGGTGAACTGTACTGCACACATCAACTTGACATGCATGCTGGGTTCAAGTTCATGTTCTCTCACTTGCACTGCAGGTACTTTACCTGCTGAGCCATCTCCCCAACCCTGCCCTGAAAACTAATTGTTTTTATCAAGACAGAAAATCTTGTTCCCGAAGCCTCAGCAGAGAATGCTGTTAAAAAGCTTACTTCGCAAGATGGGGCTACATGACTGTCCTACCTGCAGGGTTGCAAGGACAGAGAGTAGCTGGCATTTTAATTTTCTGTCACAAGAAGGACATACTGTGGAAGAGAAAAGAGAGAGACGACTTATTTTGCTATGTGCTGATGCATATTTTGACAGACTGTTTTACAGTTTTAAAAAAACCTGTAAATTAGATCGGTTGCACATCCTGTAATCCGAGAAGCTGGGAGACTGAGGCAGAAGGACTACTTTTGTTTTGTTTTGTTTTGTTTTTTTGAGACAGGTTTCTCTGTAGCTTTGGAGCCTGTCCTGGAACTAGTTCCTGTAGACCAGGCTGGCCTCAAAGTCACAGAGATCTACCTGCCTCTGCCTCCTAAGTACTGGGATTAAAGGCGTGTGCCACCACCACCGGGCAATCTAAATTTAGCCTTAAATCTAGCCAAGCTAGGCTACATAGGAGATAGTTTTCAAACAAAATAGAACCAAAGCAAACCAAAATACAACAAAAACTACAATATAATATTATAAGAAATTTAAGAAACACAGCCTGGTGGTAGAGCACTTCTCAGAATCCATGAGACCCCAAATCCTATCTGCAGCATCGTGCATGTGCACATACATAGAAAGCCAGGTGCTGCCTGGTCTGTAACTCCACTGCTGACTGAGATAGAGAGCTGAGGACTGATGAGGCTTCCTGGCCTTCAACCTAGCTCCAGATTCAGTGAGAGACACCCACCCCCATGGAAAAATGAAGAAAATGATCAAGTAGAAAAGTCAATATCATCCTCCAGACCCTGTATATACATGGGTATGTGTTTCACACATATGTGCATATATACCACACACATAGAAACGAAGAGAAAATGCCAATACTGGAAACAAATCTAAAGTAAAAAAAAAAAAAGCAGAGATGATCATTAATGTATTTTTTCAGAAGATGTTTATAAAATAATTTAGTGTTTTAGAACAGGGTCTCACTCTATAGTCTAGGCTGGCCTTGAAGTTTAGATGATCCTCCTGCTCCAGCTTCTCCCACACTAAGGTTACAGATATGAGCTATTGTGCCCATCAAAGCTGGCTCTTTGTCAAAAATCATTTTGTATAAAAATATTTTAAAGAAAAATTTCGAGGCCTGAGCCAGGACCTCTGCCAGTCTGGGTGTGAATCTGGGACCTCCAAGGGAATGGGCAGGAACCAGAGACCTCTGAGGGGCCAGGCATTGGCATGGCACATCAAAGGGAGTAGGCAGGGACCAGAAACGTCTGTGGGTCTGAGTGTGAGTCTGAGACATCTGAGGGTGTAAGCCTGAGTCAGGTCCTCTGCAGTTCTGGGCACACCTGAGCCTGGGAACTCCAAGGCTGTAGACTGGAGCCAGAAACCTTGACAGGACCATTCCCAAGACAGAGACGTCTGCAGTAGGGGATCCATACCAGGATTTACAGAAACAGGTCAAAGCGAGTAACCTAGGCCAAAGTAGGCCTGAGGTAACGATCTCCACCTTGGGCTGGAACAAGATTAAGGTAACAGGTTGCACAGGAGTGGGACTGAACCAGCTACCTAGGCCAGAGTGGGCCTGAGGAAGCAAACTCCATGGGAGCAGGAGCCGGGAGACAATCCAGTTCAGGACACTGGCAGACCAGAATTGAGCCAGCAACCTGGTCCAGAGCAGACCTGAGACAGCAAACTCCACTAGAACAGGTCAGGGGAGTAACTGCTGAGCAAGTGAGTCAGAGTCAGAGACTGCTGAGGGTCCAGACGTGAATCTGGGACCTTTAAAGGAGTAGACCAAAGCAAGGACCCCTGTGGGTCTGGACTTGAGTCTAGGACCCCTGAGGAACTAGGCCTGAGCCAGGACTTCTCCCAGTCTGGGCATGAATCTGGGACCTCCAAGGGAGTAGGCAGGAATCAGAGATCTCTGCGGGGCCAGGTGTGAGTCTGGGACCCCAGAGGGAGTAGGCCTGAGCCAGGACTTCAGTGGGTCCATCCATTGGCATGGCACATCAAAGGGAATAGGGAGGAACCAGAAACCTCAGCAGGGCCAAGTGTGAGTCTGGGGGAGAGTGACCTCTGAGGGAGTAAGCCTGAGCCAGGTCCTCTGCATTTCTGGGCACACCCGAGCCTGGGAACTTTGAGGCAGTAGACCAGAGCCAGAAACCTTTGCAGGACCAACTCCAAGCCAGGGACTTATGCAGGAGGGAATCCAGACCAGGATTTACAGAAACAGGTCAAAGTCAGTAACCTAGGCGAAAGTAGGCCTGAGACAGCAAACTCCAAGAGAGCAGAGCAAAGCACAGGAGCACTGAATCATCTCCAGGAACAGGAATAACCAACAGGGTAACTAGAACTGTGACACTGGCTGTACCATGAGGAACAACCATCTGAGTTTTGGATTCACTGACACCCAGAAGATTATTCAACAGAATCTCAGACAGGCCCAATCACACCTATTAGAGGAAAAGATGAGTAGAAAAGGTAAGAACACATGCAACACCACAAAGAGCAGTACAACACCAGTGAAACCTAAAGACCCTACAATAGCAAGACATGAACAATCAAATATAGATGAAGCAGAAGAAAATGACCTAAAAAATAATGTCAGGAGACTGTTTAAAACACTAAAAGAGGAAATGATATATTCCCTCAAAGAAATGGAGGAAAAGACAAACAAAAAATTGGAAGACACCAGCAAATCCCTTAATGAAAACCAAGAAAAAGCAATCAAACATATGAAAGAAACTATTCAAGACTTGAAAACTGAAATAGAGACAATAAAGAAAACACAAGCCAAGGGAATTATAGGAACAGAAATCATGAGAAAACAATTAGGAATCACAAACACAAGCAAGAACAGCAGAATAAAAGAGATGGAAGAGAGAATCTCAAGCACTAAAGATATAATAGAAGAAATAGACTCATCAGTTAAAGAAAACATTAAATTTAACAAAAGCCTAACCCAAAATATCCAGGAAATATGGGACACCATGAAAAGGCCAAATCTAAAAATAATTATAGAAGAAGTTCAACTCAAAAGCACAGAAAATATATTTAACAAAATCATAGAAGATAACTTTCCCAACCTAAAGAAAGATATGCCTATGAATATACAAGAAGCTTACAGAACACCAAATATACTGGATCCAAAAAAACCCTCCCCTCACCACATAATAATCAAAACACTAAACATACACAGTAAAGAAAGAATATTAAGAGCTGCAAAGGAGTGCTCACGTCGGCAGCACATATACTAAAATTGGAATGATACAGAGAAGATTAGCATGGCCCCTGCACAAGGATGACATGCAAATTCGTGAAGTGTTCCATATTTTTAATCAAACACAAAATATACAGAATAAAGAAAGAATGTTAAGAGCTTCAAAGGAAAAGAACAAGTAACATATAAAGGCAGACCTATCAGAATTACACCTGACTTCTCAGTGGAGACAATGAAAGCCAGAAGGTCATGGTTAAGCATTACGCAGACATTAAGAGACCACGGATGCCAGTGCAGACTACTATACCCAGCCAAACTGTCGATCACCATAGAAGGACAAAGCAAGATATTAAATGACAAATCTAGATTTCACCAATACCTAGCCACAAACCCAGCCCTACACAAAATAAAGAAGGAAAATTCCAACCCAAGAAAGTTGGCTATACCAACAAAAAAACAGACAATTGGTGGTCTCATAGCAGCAAATCCCAAAGAAGGGGAAAACACACAAACTAACATCACCAACAATGAAAATTAAATTAACAGGAAATTGCAATCACTGGTCATTAATATCCCTTAATGTAAATGGACTCAACTCACCTATATAAAAGCACAGGCTAACAGACTGGATACGAAAACAGAATCCATCCTTCTTCTGCATACAAGAAACAAATCTCAACCTCAAAGACAGACATCATTTCAGAGTAAAGGGTTGGGAAAAAATATAGCAATCAAATGGACCTAAGAAACAAGCGGGTGTAGCTATCCTAATATCTAACAAAATAGATTTCAAGCTAAAATCAGTCAAAAAAAGAGACAAAGAAGGTCATTACATATTAGTCACAGGAAAAATCCATCAAGAGGAAATCTCAATACTGAACATCTATGCCCCAAATACAAGAGCACCCTCATATGTAAAGGAAACATTTATAAATTTTAAATCATACATTAAACCCCACACACTAAGAGTGGGAGACTTCAACACTCCCCTTTCACCACTGGACAGGTCAGTCGGACAAAAAATGAACAGAGAAATAATGGAAATAACAGACGTTATGACTCAAATGGACTTAACAGACATCTATAGATATTCTATCCAAACAGAAAAGAATATACCTTCTTAGCAACTCATGGAACCTTCTCAAAAACTGACCACATACTTGGTAACAGAACAAACCTCAACAAACACAAAATACTTGTAATAACCCAATGTACCTTATCAGATCACCATGGTTTAAAACTAGAAGTCAACAGCAATACTAATTCCAGAAATCCCACAAACACGTGGAAATAAAACAATGCTCACCTGAATCATCAATAGGTCAAGGAAGAAATAAAGGGAGCAATTAAAGACTTCTTAAAATTCAATGAAAATACTCACACAACATACCCAAATTTATGGAACACAATGAAAGCGGTGTTAAGAGGAAAGTTCATAACACTAAATGCTAAATAAAGAAGCTAGAAAAATCCCACACTAGTGAATTAACAGAACATTTGAAAACTTTAGAACAAAAAGAAGCAAATTCACCTAAGAGAACTAGACAGCAGGAAATAATCAAATTGAGAGCTGAAATCAACAAAATAGAAACAAAGAAAACAATACAAAGAATCAATGAGACAAAGAGTTGGTTATTTGAGAAAATCAACAAAATAGACAAACCTTTACCTAAACTAACCAAAAGGCAGAGAGAGAATATCCAAATTAACAAAGTCAGAAATGAAAAGGGGGACATAACAGACATGGATGAAATACAGAGAATCATCAGGTCATATTTCAAAAACCTGTACTCCACAAAATTGGAAAACTTAAAGGAAATGAACAACTGTCTGGATAAATAAATATCACTTACCAAAATTAAATCAAGACCAGATAAGCAAATTAAA